TTAAATTAGATTGCAGCTCATGTCAGCTATATATCATGTCTTATTTTTAAGCAAACATCTGCAGGAGCTGTACTCATTTTCATTTACACAGTGTATGTTAGCTACTTGAGACTAACTTATGTTTTCTTATAAAATTAGGACTTTTTGACCGCAGGGAGACATACCACAGACTATATGATGCCATAGCTTTGCACTGATTTGTTTGTAAATATATTGTTTTGATTACACAGTTAGACATCCCATTTTTTACACAGTTGTTCATTTATGAATACAAGTGTAATAAGTAGTCGTATAGTTTATACTGAGTGGGTCATCTAGCTTTCTGGACATGTCTCTGAACGACTCATGCACATACGTCATTCTTTTATGCAGAGAAGCCATTAACAAAAGTACAAAAAAAAGAACCAGAATAAGAGATAAGCTGAAGTATAGCTTTGTACGTCTAATGTTTTATATTGATATGTGATGATATTGGTAATGCTTGGATATTATACTGTTAATTATCTCATGCTTGTCTGCTTGTGTTGTTGTCGCCACTGTACTGTATTGTTTAGTTGACTTATGCCTCAATAAAAATACAGATAAAAAAAAAAAACTATATGCCAACAACAGGACTACAAACCCCAGAAAGCCCCCCTGTGCGTGATCCCAGGATAAAAGTACTTGTATGGGTTAAGACAGGGCCGTCTTTAATATTGATTGGTCCCTGGGCAAGCATCTGTTTGGGCCCCCTGGGCATGCAATCACTCCCTCCACCCCAACCTAGAGGCGAAACTAATGTAGAAAGTGCCTTGGTGCAACAACAAAAAAAATCAGGCCTGCCCTGTATCACAACAGTAAAGAAAAGATAGATCCCCATCTGTCATACAACTCCTGCGATGCTATGCCAGCTGGGGATCTACCATCCTTGCAGGGTTGTATTTTTGAGCAGTGTTTGTGCAAATGAATGTCAGCATGTTATTGTATAGAGAGTATGTGTGCATGTAGGAGTGTATTTGTATGTACTGTTACCATTGGAATGCAGTGGTGTACTTGTGTGTAGTGTTTGCATTTTAATGCAGGGATGTGTGATTGTTTGTAGTGTTGGCTTTTAAATGCAGGTGTACTTTTGTGTGTAGAGTTGGTGTTTGTATATCATTTTAGCATTTTAATACAGGAATGTGTTTGCATGTAATGTTTGTATTTGCATGCAGGGGGGTGTTTGGATGTAGTGTTGTCTTTTAAATACATGTGTACATTTGTGTGTAGTATTAGTGTTTCAGCAAACTGGTGTGTTTGTAATGTTTGTGTTTGCAGGGGTCTGTTTGCATGTTGTGTGATTTCTATAACACATATACACATACACATTAACACGCAGATACACATATGCTCACACTGACACATGCTCACACCTTGACACATACTGGCACATACACATACACTCAGATACACACCCTTTGACACACAGATACAAGCACTTTGATATACACACACTGGCACATACACACACACACACTGACACAGGTATATACACACACACTCAGATATACACATACATAAAGGTATAAATGCAGGGGTGTATATGTGTACAGTGCTAGAGATGGAATGTAGGAGTGTATTTGTGTTGGCATTAAAATGCTGGGATGTATGCATTACCACACACTCAGATGCACACTTACACACACACCAAAACATACACACAGGTGCACATACAGGTGTATGAGGTATACATACACACAGAAACACTGACACACAGACAAACACAGCCAGATACACACAAGGACATAAACACAGCCAGATACACACAAGGACATAAACACAGCCAGATACACACACACATATATATGTGTACATTTACATATTTTAATCTCTGCCTTCTAGCAGCTCTTGGACAGCAACTCCCAGCAACCTTGGCCAATATAATGTCTCAACTCTGTTCTTACATACCCTGGTCCAGAATTTGGCAAAAGTGACATTTGAAAATGGTGTACAGCCTTTGATAACACTTGATACAATATGTTAAAATAAATACTTTTTAAATTTATATTTAATAGGGAAGTGTCAGGTTCTTCTAGGATTTTAACATGTACTTATTCCCTGTGTGTTACATTACAAACACCAACACACTTAAATAAAAGTGATATCAGAAATTAGCAAAACAAAACATATTTAGCCACCCTCCTGTCTCCTTACATTTTGGGTACAGAAAGGTGGCTTCCCTGGTGTCCAGTGAGAGCTTGCTGGCCCAGGCTGATGGGAGTCTGCCATCAGCTTTCTCAGTCCCTCTCCCCCACAATGCTTGCATCCTCCGTGTGGTGTGTGCCTCCTCCCCAGCGGCACTGAGGAGGAAGTGATCAGTTCTTACTGGGAGGAAGCAATCTGACCTCACTGCCTCCCAGCATGCCCAGGAAACAAAGAGACTCACAGGGCAGTATGTAGTCAGCCACCCCCCATATAACAGGGGCCCTGGCCGGTCCAGAGCAGTATTAAAGGGCTGTGGCCCCTGATTACCTCAGGTGCCGCAGGGGGCCCATGGGGCAGATGCCTTAGGGCCCCCAGGAGTAACTGGGCCCGGAGCAGCTGCCCCTTTTGCCCCTCCTTAAAGACAGCCCTGGGTTAAGAGGTATATTGCATCACTCAGTGGCATATCTAAATGAGGGATTTGGCTTTTGAATGTAGTTATAAAACATGTGCAAGGAAACAGGGGCAGAGAACCTGTTTCAAAATAATCTATGTAAGAAAAGAGTATCTCTTTGGGAATAAGTAACTCGTAAACAAAAATAAGGCTTAAAAAATAGGAGGAACAGCTTATTTTGGGTTACCCCCTATTGGAGAGCACAGTGGAAGCGATCATGCCCAGGAAAGGCATAGAGACCACATTATCAGTTGAAAGTGGTTTGCTAGACCACTTCAATATTGTTTTTTCTCTATTTAGGAATATTTAACAGCATTGTGGAATCATGTGACCAGGAAGTGCAGACAGACATGACAGTTGGAGTCATTTGAAAATTGACAACTTTATGTAAAATGGATATAACACTCCTATAAATAATACAACAGGTACTAACAAATGCCATTGTTCATAACATAACACCATGCATCCATAATATATCCATATTTGAAAATTATTTTAATTTAAAGTTTGAGGATTCTTGATTTAACTCTGAATTACACTGAGCTGACAACTGACTTGCTTAAAGCCCAAAAAGCTGAACTTAAAGATTTTTTCTAAGTCCATAACTTTCTCTGGTCCGCACAACTCACAGTTTATAAAATAAATGTTTATAATTTTAGCAGCTGTGCTGGCTGGAATCCTCAGAACTGGACTTAAAATACATACGGCACAATGTATTGTACAGGGGTATACTACAATTATATTGTTTTAACTAGAGAAATAATTTTAATCTAAATAATTGTTGACAGTTACACAAACAGGAGTAGTCACTAAAGTAAGAAAAGCCTGAAATGTCAAGTGAATTCAAAATGAATTTCAAAATTAAGGCTAAATTAGTCAAACTGGAAAGATTTTCCAGGTCAACTATAATTTCAGTTCGGCTACTTTGGCCTTAAATTTGAAATTCAGTTTGAATTCTCAACAATGTTCACTTTTGTGAATAACTCCGATACATGTCTGTTAAGAAAACCTTTTAAATACACAACTTTTAAAAATGATCTGTACAGTTGGGTTCCGTTTTATTCTAAACAGGTTCTTGTGTTATATTAGGCTTTCACTATTCATTTCTGTCCATAAGAAAATTCTCAGTACATGGCACCATTTGGTGGATATTACATACCTTGCCAAAGCTGCCCTGTCCAAGGGTTTTATGGATGGCAAATCTCTCCAGAGAAATGCTGGTCTCCATTGGAGAAACCACAGGATGGATGGTGGCTCCTTCTGGGAGAGTAAAAATAGTCCATATGTAACATCATATGTAAAAAAAGATTAACGTCTAAGTTCTTTTTAGTTAAAAATGTGTTTTGTATTATGTAAACTTTTTTATTGTTATTTTGACACAGTACATACTGAAATGTTTACTTCGGGTCCTGATTGACTAGGTTTTAACCATAAGATACATATATTTTTAATGTTCTTACCTCGTATGAACAAATGCTCAAATCTTACTGAGAACGTCTCACTTCCAACAATAATCCTTATATTTTGAAAACCAAAAGGGGGAAGTAGATTTTTGGAATCTACTAAAGTTAGGCATCAGTGTTAAGTTAGTTTAGGTAACTGTGATTAAAGAACACATAAGAGGAGTATTACTGCGTTTTGAGACATTAAATATACAGTAAACCGCTCTGAATTTAAATATTCTCTAATAGAATGGATCCCCCTTCTCAATTTCCAGTGTACTGTTTCTTACCTTCGCATTTCTTCTTTCTCTTCAAATGCTCTTCTGTTTCACTCCCGTCTGGTCCTTTCTTCTCTTCGGTCTTCTCCCGTTGCCTCTTCTTGCCTGTCCTCTTCTTTCCACATGATGTTTCGGTGGTTGTTGGATTTTCCATATTTGTTCGTTTACAATTTTTGAATAACAGCACGAAAACTCCTCTGAATCGCTTGAAAGCTAGCTGAGGAGTGACAGTTGCACTGGTCAAGCTATAGAATCCTGTGATGTCGCTGCTTCTATACCAACTAAATTCAAAAAATGCCAACAACTACATGTTTATTTTCAAATCTAATTAATATTATAATGATTTTTGGCATACATTTTTTTTTTTTTTTGGGTTACACAGTTAGCTTGGGTAGCTGTCACTATGGAATTTATACAATTGTATATAACCTTGAAAATCACTTATAATTTATCTAAACATTTTTTTATGTGATGTTCCATTTTTGTTTAAAAGTTTATTAAAGTCTGGGCACTGCAAAAAATCACATTACAAATAGGGTGGAGAAATATAATTTTTTTTATTTTCGCCTTTCGCATATGAAATCTTAAAGGGGTTATTCACTAAAGTAAGAAGTGTCAGGAATTCATAGTGAATTTCAAATTAAAAGACAAAATAGCAGAAATTGAAATGTTGTCCAAGTCAGATATGCATCAAGCTTGACTATTTTAGCCTTCGATTTTAAATTCACTTTGAATTCCTCAAAATTCTCACTTTACTGAATAACTCTGTGAGTATCATTTTTATCTCAAGATATAAAAATTTGTGTCTCTTATATTAATGCTACTACTATTATTGATACACATACACTGATAATCCACAACATTAAAACCACCTGCCTAAAACCCCCCTCGTGCTACCAAAACAGTTCTGATGCATCGAGGAATGGACACCACAAGACCTCTGAACATGGCCTGTGGTGTTTGACACCAAGACATTAGCAACAGATCCTTTAAGTTTTGCAAGTTGCGAGGTTGGACCACCATGTATTGGATTTGTTGTTCCAGCACATCCCACAGATGCTCAATCGCATTGAGATCTTGGGAAATTGGAGAGCAAGGCAGCTTTGTCATGTTCCTCAAACATCTCAATTTATTAGAACTAACTGGGCAAACATCCAGAGATGTGCCACCGTTAAAGTCAACTTGGACTCATCTCCTGGTGTTGGTTTAACGAAAAGTAGAAATCCATGATAAATGTACATTTGCATTCTGAAGACCAAATATATAACATTTGGCTATTAATGTTATGTTGAGTAGTTGCACAAGTTAATTTGTTGGAAGAAGGTATAATTAAAATCTAATCTATGCAATTTACTTACTGTTTAGCTGGTACACCATATACATAGGAGTTTAGTCTCTGTAACAGTGGTTTTGGCAAGAATTAAAATAATGTATATGACATTAACCTGGCAACGCATTTTACAGTTTTTTTACATTTACATTTCACAGTGTATGGGAAGTCCATAGCATTTGGCATTATAGCAAAACTAATTATCGTGGAAGAGAAAGCCAAAGTGGTCGTATTGACAGATTTATTTTAATATTTATTATATATAAATCAAACTATTTAACTTAACTAATAAACATATTAATGTGATGATTTATTGAAAGAGTACGCAGTCTTCATTTTTATGTGGTAATAGCGTGCTGATTTTTATGTGGAGAATAGTATATATCTAGATAGTAACTTGAAAGTGCAAGAGTGTGCATGTCATTGCAGTGCTGCAGGTTGATACGTTCACAGGTCCATAGCATGTGCATGAAACATAGTTCTTGGGTATCAGCTTCTACAACTTGGTCAGGCAGAAGATGTGATTGTTCGTTTTCTATACTGTCTGGGGGTCATCACCATCAGCTCTTGAAAGAGGCTACAGCTGCTCCTGATCATGTCCTGAAGGAGACTCATAATTATCTCCAACATGGACGTTATAGGCTCAGATACCTTCTAAACCAGTACTGGAATAAACAGGGAGTCACAATCATGTTTTTTAGCCAATCCTGAAAGAGACTGGATGTCCTCTTCCATATGTCCACCACTCTGGTTCCTTACATTCGGTTTCTCCTGCATTTCTACGAGTTAGCATTAAGTACCACATCTCAAGTCAATGGGGATCAACAGCAATCTCTGCCAGTCCTTATATTTCTTCTTATCGTTTTCCTCTTTCACCTCCTAGATTATAGTTTCTTTCCATAGATCCTAATGGGAAAAAAAAGAAAAAAGTAACTAATAGGAAATAGCATTACAATATACAAAATATGAACGGACCGCTCACCGTGCCAGTACCACTTCATGTCAATTTTATGGGGCCATAAGATCACCATGGCATTCTTACCTTTAAGCGTTAAACTGATTTTGAACACTTACTGGCCACCCCTAGCCAGTAGTGCTTCTGAATAATAAAAACTAAGGGATGTTTGGTGAATTTACAAAAAGTTACCTTGAAAGAAATTAAGACCTGATTGGTGCATGTAGTTTGCACCAATATGTTGATTACCAAAGAATCCTTACAGGAATAAAGGAACACGCCAGTCAACAGGAAGCCCCTAGGCACTTTTCTTACCTTAACTTCATTTAGATTAAGTTGTTATGGTGACCAGAGTGTTCCTTTACGCTTCTATAAGTTACCCAGCTATGCTTCTCAGAATTAACTTTTGATGCAAGTATTGAATGCACATTTTACAGTGTGCTCATGAAATCGGAACAAAGTATTATTTCAACCAGGTCCTAACCAAAAGTTAGGCTAAAAGCTCTAACCACACATAACAGGTCTATTTCGAAGCTGATGAGAAATTTTATCTTCTCAAGTGATATGGGAGCTTCCTCATCACACCAACTCATCATATGTACAAGAGAATAGAGTGATCTATCCAGCATATTTTCTCAGAGAGACCATCTGACTAGCCTAGCGCTGCATTTTGCCGTGCATGCGCACTATACTCTCAATACATATGTATTCATAAAGCTATAGTGTTCGTTTAAGCATATTAGGGTATATATAGCCTTTAAACATGAATTAAAATAGGGAACGAGACTTAATTTTTTCCACACAAGTATTTTATTAATTTTATCATCTACCTATAAGTGTCATACATCGAGCTGCCGCGCAGCACTTGCAGACTCAGGGGGAGCCGCATGGCAGCCACAATGTCTCCGGTCCTGCGCCACTCCGATCAGCTGCTCCATGTACAGAAGGTGTTCTGAACTATGTCAATCTTGCGAGTTGCAGATCACCGTGGCAGCCTCATACCGCCTACAGGAGTCCTCAAAGTTACAGGACCCGGTAGGTTTTGGTCATATTATAATACAATTTGTAAGGGTCATGTGACGAAAGCCCTGTTTGGACAGACTCAGGGAAACAGCATTTCGTCTTAATATTCATGTGTTTGGCTATTTCGTTTATTTGTAAAAGAGCCGAACAAACTCCTGAACCACCCGACCTCCCACCAGGGTCGTGTGCAGCTCATTTACCACCCAGACCAAGGTTATTGATGAAAGGCTTGGTGGTCCATGTTCGTTTGCCGAACAAGTGGCAGTCGCCATTTTAAAATCGTCGAACGTTCAGCGGTAGATGGTCATCGACCCTCTGGAACTGTTTTCGGACACTTATTTAGCTATACACCACTGAAGAGCACCAAGTTCCCGTCCATTCGGTTAATAACTCCCGAACACTTTACCGTCCGGGATTTTCCTCTTATACGAGCTAGACCGACCCCAGGTAGCTGCAGTTATGGAACTCTTTTCGGATTCAATTTCCCGAACAACCGGTGAACTTAAAACTTTACTCGACGATATTGAGAACTGTGTTCGTGGGATCTGAGCGCTATTCGTCTATATTGTGCGCTCAGATTCAAGCTATCTGGGGGTATGTGGAACATGGAGACGCTCAGCCAAATATGAGTTATGGATTTTAATACAGTTTTGTCAAAATGTAAAAAGGACATGTTTTCTCTACCTGGAGATAATTAGGTTCTATCTAACCACTTAAGTTAATTATCTCCAGAATAGAGGGGAGGGGTTGCACTGTTACTGTGGGTGTGTTTAATAATTGTACTGTAAACTGATTGGTTCTGTATATTTTGTCACAGTTTTCCACAAGGTCCCCTGTGGGAGTTTCCTTGCTGGGAGACCATCATAAAAGGCTGAGTTTGGCCATCAATAAATCAGATCGTTTTACCCCTTCATGAAGTCTCGACTCATGTTTGGGGGAATTGGGAGCTATAATCGCTACTTCGTTATTATTCTACTGGGAGTTCGGGAGAAGCTGCAAGGATCGGTACTACAGAGATAACAGGATCCTTCACAGGTCATAACTATGGTGCACATAATCTACCCTTCACAAGTCATACCCCTTTATGTAAATTGGTGCAGGTTGGTGATGATGTCCAATAGTATTTTGGTTGCCCCTATAAATACTTTCCTCCTTCCTAGGATCATTGGCCTGTTGTATTATTGTCTGCAAGTGCGTACTGTTAACTTGGTATTTCTTGTTACTGACCCGGCTTCATATGGACTATTCTCATTTTCTGTATCCTTAACCCTGGCTTGTTTAATCGTCTTTTGAGTACCTCTCGAATCCTTGACCATGGCACACATTAAGCCCGGCCACGCCATGAGATATACATATCTCGCTCATTCTATCTCCTTCATTCAAGTTGCTGTTTCCCTATTCTCTGTGTGTAGGTGTTACCCATCCAGACAATAAGTGACTTTTTGATATTATTGATTTGCTATTCATGCAATTTGCAGAGTTTTTTGTCCACAAGATGGCGAGCTTGCCTAGCTTTTCACTACTTTAGTATCACAGCAAAAGATTCATTAAATTTGCAACAACCAGGATATAGTTTGATTGGTGCCATTTAAGTCTGAGTTGGATCCTTTGCTAGAAGTGCTTTTTAGAAAGAATGTGAATGGCATTTTTTAATCGATTTGGATGTAATATTTCCTGTGTTAGATAAAAGTTATTAGTTTTATTAAACTCCCTTATTGAAATCAAGAATTGTTTAGACTTTGAGGTGTTTTATTGCCTAAGCACCATGATCACTTAAAGGGACACTACATTCGCCAAAACAATTTTATCTGATAATGAACAGTTTATGTGTATAAATGATGCCGTATCCAAAAAAGCAGCCCTGAACCTCTTCTAATGAGGCCCAGTTGCCGTTCGGGTGGTGAGGGAGACAGGGAGCCCATTACTTACTGTGCTGTTTCTGCACAGCTCCCTCGCGCACCCTGAAATAAGCCGGCTGCTGGGTTATGACGTCACCCTGGCATCGCATCATTACTGGGTGCACTAGGGACCTGTGCAGTAAGAGCACAGTGATCCCATCACAGCAGCAACCACTGGCCACCCGGGAGAGGATCCACCCCAGCCCTCCCAGAGCAAGTTAGGGAGGCTGGGTGGACGTCTTAATTACTAAATTAAATGTGCATTAATGTGATTTTTGTGGGTGTATGCCAGTAGTTATATGTGTATGTGAGTGTATATGTACGTGTGTGGGTCTGTTTGTGTATGTCTGTGATTCTATGTATGTCTGTGATTGTGTGTGTAGATCTGTGATCATGTTTATATATGTGATTGGGTGTGTGCATGTGATTATGAGTGTGTCTGTGATTGTATGTCTGCATGTGTGGGTCTGTGGTTGTGTATGTCTGTGATTATGTGTAATGGGATTTGGGGGCACACCCAGAACATGCATTTCCAAGCAGTGGTGCTGCTGTAAAGACCAAAACATATACAAAATACAGTTAAAGGAATAGTGCACACACACACAAAAAAAAATACAGCTTTACAGTTAACAAGGCTACTTAAAAAAATCTTAGCAAATATATACATATCTATGACATTTAAATAGAATTTGCAGTAATGGAAGGGTAAAAATTAGATGACTCTTTACAGGATGTGTTTAGGTAGGCTGTATAAGTCACATGCAGGGAGGTGTGCCTAGGGCTGCATAAACAAAGTGATTTGATTCCTAAATGGCAAAGAATTGAGCAATGAGACTGCAGGGGCATAATCTCTACACCAAAACTACTTTGTTAATCTAAAGTTGTTTTGGTGACAATAGTGTCCCTTTATGTAATTTGAAGTGGTCATGGTGCGTGGAAACTAATTTGAAATGCTGCTCATATGGCGTTTAACTCCTCTGGCGTCTGAGGTGTAATCAGAGGTGTAACTCCACCTCCAGCAGCATCATTGGGACATCATTCACCAGCCCAAGATAAGAGTTCTGTGCAGGCTGATGACAGTTCTGTACATATTCATATGGTAGAAATACATTTATTTGCTGAAAGCAGCCAGCAGTCGCTCTCAGCTAATGAATGGAGGAGGGATCTGCTAAAATTCAGAGTTTAATGACAAACTTGTCTGACTACAAAAAAACAACAGGACTTGAAATTAGACATGATTTCCAAGGCAATGACAAAATGTGCTTATTACAGAAAAAAAGATTGCTTAGAATGTTTTGTAAAAATTTGGAGTTATCCCACTGTTTGTGTTCCTCATACAGAATCTCAATCGAACCATTCCAACCAGTCAGACAGCGGCCTTTCTGATAGTCAAGCCTCAAGCCATATGCGTTCTCAAAGCATTGTGAGTTCTATCTTCTCTGAAGCCTGGAAGAGAGGAACGCAGCTGGAGGAATCCAGCAAGGTAGAGTGATCATTCCCTCCACTCCCACTAAACCTAAATAAGGCATGAATGGCTGAGCTGCATGGGTAGAAGGCTGCTGGGTTTTTATTCCTGTTTCCCGTTATCCCGTATCACAGCCATGATTTCCCATCCCACAATGTAGACCAGTGTTTAGTACCATTCTCTCTACATCAAGTCATACCTATTATGTTGCCACATTACCATACACTTTGGCAAGTTTACAGACCATTGCAGAAGCCTCTCTTCGTGAGGACATCTATAAATTGTGAAAACAATTTGAACCTTCACGCACCGTAGTGTAATAATCATGCTTTTAAATTTGGTCAGGCCATGGGTATGAAATAAATTGGCCAGCCTTCATTGTAAGACGGGATGATTGGGAATTCCGATAGAACGGGGTTGAAAAATACGCATTGGCATGATGTTGCTATTCTGTCGCCACGCATTTTTCATTTCACTGCTCGTGTTTCTCCTATTGCCTCATTGTCCCAGGTTCCAAATGTGAAGCCCAACTCTTCTAAGGCCATCAAGCCCACAGTGATTTGTACGGGGCGGTATTAAGGTCAGGGGTCATCTAAAAACACACTTAACCTGTATGTTGTTTAACTGGAATCCTCCAGACTAACTTTCTAAAGAATCCTTTATCCTTTCCTGAAAATAAAGCAAACGAATCATGAACAAACATTAACACAAGACCCCTGGCTTATGTTTGGTTAATGGTTTTTCTCTGCCGAAAAGCAAACGTTTCCTTTTTATTTTTCTTTGTTTTTTTAAATTACTTTTTCAATACAAAAGGGGATCAGGTAAAGCTTTAGCCTAATTAGATCATAGGGCAGGACATTATTGTAGCAGTAATGTTTTTGGCTTGCAGTTTTGAGGCTTTGTTTTTTCATTTTCTTGTGAAATCCTTATTATAGGGGCTAATGAAAGAACTTTCCACTGCATATCCCAACAAAAATCTGGAATTCTAGTATGTCAGATGTAAGTTAAGCAGATTGCTGCCAATTGCCAAGTTATTGTGGTAATGTTAGTACTACCCACATTTTGTTTAGAAAAGCTGCATTTAATGCAGACTTCTACCCATTTTTATACTAATTTAGTGTCCGCAATTATATGCACCAAATACTGTCAATAGTGTTTTAAGAGACAGGTTATATCCCCTTAAGGGGATCCAGTCCGCTGCCTTAATTCCTAGATGGCCATCCTCTTTTATAATTAAGGCTTAGGTATCAAAGAATATAAATATAATAAAGTCTACAGAAATAAACTTTTTCTAGTAGGACACAGAAGGCTTCCTTTCTTGCAACTGGCTGCACAGGATTTTGATTACTGAATAGCAAGGCATTCTTTTTTAGAGTAGGAATTTAAAGCTATGTCCTGCTTAACTTGCCTCTTCTCACCTCTGCATTGTCTGTTGTCATGCACCTTCTGCCCTCTCGTGTTGTCTGTTTCCAACCAATGTCTTCTTGTATGTCACCAAATATGGAATTTTAACTTTTATTTTTTATTGCAATGCACTTCCTCAGCGTTCAGGATTCTGGTGTTGGTGATGAGATCTGCATATTACATTTCCTTTCTAAAGCTGTGCATTTTCTAACTTCTTTATTGCTACTGCAACACTGGGAAGTTTAATCCTTTCTTTACAAAGACGCAACTTACATTCAGTTGTAATATCCATTCAACTGTGCTACTGCAAATAATATATTAAGAATTTTGTTATTTCTGGAAAACCTCCTTTTGTGTTTACCCACTGTCTTTGTGATGTCCACTGTTGATTGTTTTGTACAAAGTGGCATGTGTATACATTACAAGCTATATCTAATGCTTTTTATTTTATATATTCTAGGCTTGAATGGAAACCTTAAGTCGTCTTTTAGTTTCTCTGACTCCTCAGCCACACATCCAGTTTAGGGCTGTATCTCCTCATGCGTCATCTCAGCCATCACCCCTTGCACCACCTCCTCCACCCCCACCGCCGCCACCTCCTCCTCCACCCCCTCCCCCACCTCCACTTCCCACCCAATCTAAAAGTCCTTCTGTGTCCACACCAATTTTGTTTGCTAAATACAGTACCATCACAAGATTCCAAAATGCTGCCCAATATCCAGGGCCTACCTTTAAATCCCCCACATATAGCACAGTTCAACACATTCCACCAAGTTCAAAGCCTCAGATGATTGTTACCCCAAATGGGGCTATCCCCGCCTCCACTGCCCCCGCCGCCACCACCACCACCTCCACCACCTCCACCACCAGGTTCAGCAATGGCAATGCTAAAACCATTTCCATGTACACCATCTATGCCTCAGTTTACACCACCACCTCCACTGAAAATCAATCAAGTCCAGCAAAACAACATTGTCCAGGCTACCCAGCCCCCTCCACCACCTCCACTACCACCTCCACCACCACCTCCTCCCCCTCCACCTCCTCCCCCTCCATTCCAAGCACCTATTAAACAGTTTGGGACAGTTTCCAAGCCAGCCCTGCCTGTTGCCACCCCACCAGCGTCTGTAGCCCCGGGGCCTCCTACTGCACCCAAAAAGCAGCTTCATTTCATACTCTCACAGACGCAACAATCTTCAACGAGTCCATCAGTTATGTCTGCTCCCACTCCACCTCCAACCCAGGGCCGTCTTTAATATTGATTGGACCCTGGGCAAGCATCTGCTTGGGCCCCCTGGGCATGCAATCACTCCCTCCACCCCAACCTAGAGGCGAAACTAATGAAGAGAGTGCCTTGGTGCAAAAAAATAATAATTCAGGCCTGCCCTGTAGCACAAGAGTAAAGAAAAGATAGATCCCCATCTGTCATACAACTCCTGCGATGCTATGCCAGGTAGGGATCTACCATCCTTGCAGGGTTGTATTTTTGAGCAGTGTTTGTGCAATTGAATGTCAGCATGTTATTGTATAGAGTGTATGTGTGCATGTAGGGGTGTATTTGTATGTACTGTTACCATTGGAATGCAGTGGTGTACTTGTGTGTAGTGTTTGCGTTTGAATGCAGTAATGTGTGATTGTCTGTAGTGTTGGCTTTTAAATGCAGGTGTACTTTTGTATGTAGAGTTGGTGTTTGTATATAATTTTAGCGTTTTAATACAGGAATGTGTTTGTATGTAATGTTTGTATTTGCATGCAGGGGGTTGTTTGGATGTAGTGTTGTGTACATTTGTGTGTAGTATTGGTGTTTCAGCAAACTGGTGTGTTTGTATGTAATGTTTGTGTTTGCAGGGCTCTGTTTGCATGTTATGTGATTTCTATAACACATATACACATACACATTAACACGCAGATACACACATAGGCACACTGACACATGCTCACACCTTGACACATACTGGAACATACACACACACACACACACACACTCAGATACACACCCTTTGACACACAGATACAAGCACTTTGATACACACACACACTGGCACATCCACACACAGAGGTACACACACACACTGACACAGGTATGTACACACACACTCAGATACACACATACATAAAGGTATAAATGCAGGGGTGTATATGTGTCCAGTGCTAGAGATGGAGTGTATTTGTGTTGGCATTAAAATGCTGGGATGTATGCATTACCACACACTCAGATACACACTTACACACACAAACACACACACACAAACACACACACAGGTACACATACACACTGACACACAAGTACACATACACAGGTATACATACACACAGAAACACTGACACACAGAAAAACACAGCCAGATACAAACACTGACACAAACACAGCCAGATACGCACACTGACACAAACACAGCCAGATACACACAAGGATATAAACACAGCCAGATACACACACACACATATATGTGTACATTTACATATTTTAATCTCTGCCTTCTAGCAGCTCCTGGACAGCAACTCCCAGCAACCTTGGCCATAATAATGTCTCAACTCTGTTCTTACATACCCTGGTCCAGAATTTGGCAAAAGTGACATTTGAAAATGGTATACAGCCTTTGATAACACTTGATGCAATATGTTAAAATAAATACTTTTAAAATTTATATTTAATAGGGAACTGTCAGGTTCTTCTAGGATTTTTAACATGTACTTATTCCCTGTGTGTTACATTACAAACAACAACACACTTAAATAAAAGTGATATCAGAAATTAGCAAAACAAAAAAACAAAACATATTTAGCCACCCTCCTGTCTCCTTACCTTTTGGGTACAGAAAGGTGGCTTCCCTGGTGTCCAGTGAGAGCTTGTTGGCCCAGGCTGATGGGAGTCTGCCATCAGCTTTCTCAGTCCCTCTCCCCAACAATGCTTGCATCCTCCTCCGTGTGGTGTGTGCCTCCTCCCCAGCGGCACTGAGGAGGAAGCGATCTGACCTCACTGCCTCCCAGCATACCACGGAGAAGAAAAGGGATCACAGGGCAGTGTGTGAGGGGCTAGCTGTGTGTTTGTATTCAGCCAACCCCCATATTACAAGGGCCCGGTCCAGAGCAGTATTAAAGGGCTGTGGCCCCTGATTACCTCAGGTGCTGCAGGGGGCCCATGGGGCAGCTGCCTTAGGGTCCCCAGGAGTAACTGGGCCCGGGGCAGCTGCCCCTTTTGCCCTTCCTTAAAGACGGCCCTGCTCCAACCTTACCAAAACAGCAGAGCTTCTCAACAAAACCACCATCTTCTCCACTTTCCCCTATGCCTTCAGTTAAGCTGATTGCTAGTCAGTTCCCACCACCACCTCCACCACTTTCAGAACCTCAGCCTTCTAAACCAGGCACTCCCATCTCTGCCCCACAGTCTCCACCAGCTGTGAAAGCAAAACCAAAATGGCAGCCATTTTCAGTTCCATCCTCTGACTTCCCCCCTCCTCCACCTGAAAGCAGCTTAACAATTCTTCCTCCACCGCCCCCTCCACCTCCCCCTGCCACATCTCCCGTTCCACCTCCTTCCCCCACACCAGAAAAGGCTGGTTCGCCAGCTAAAAAGGCAAGCAAGACATCCAGTCCTGGCGGGAAGAAGCCTCCCCCCACTCCCCAGCGCAATTCTAGTATTAAATCGAACAGCTCTGCTGAATACCATGAATCTAAGAAATCCTCTGTGGACAGCCTAGTCAGCAAGTTCTCTGACTCACCAGGATTACCTCCCCCTACAGCTCCACCAAAGCCAGTTAAACTAAACCTTTCAGGTGTAAATTTGCCCATGGTTTTTCAGCAAGGAAATCTTTCCAGCCAAGTCCCTGGGACGTTGCCTTCAGGAAAAGTGGCAGTCACCGAGTTTCCATCTCCACCATCTGATTCTGAATCCGATTTCCCACCTCCACCAGCAGATCTTGAGCTCCTGCCACCACCTCCACCACCTGTAGATGCCCCACCAGTTTTGTTTTCTGGAAATACTTCTCCAAAGGTGGCTGTGGTAAATCCACAACCCCAGACATGGTCAAAATCTTTTGTAAAGAAAGCCCCACCACCCACCAGAGCAAAAAGCAATGACAGCATGCGTCTGATGCAAGCAGAAGTGACAGAATCATCTACCCCTGTCAGCCCACAAGTACCACCAACTTCACCTAAGCCAAGTCTTAGTGTGCAACCAGGTTTCCTTGCTGACCTGAACAAGACTCTACAGAGAAAATCCATTACAAGGCATAGCTCATTGTCATCTGCCCAGTTATCAAGGCCTGAGCCTACAGCCACCATGGATGATATGATACTGCCACCTCCTCCTCCAGAACTGCTAGGAGACAATCAAAAAGCTAACTGCTATGGAGGCAGCCATTTATCAGGCTATGCAACATTACGAAGGGGGCCACCTCCAGCCCCTCCCAAAAGGGACCAGAACACTAAGCTCTCTCGTGATTGGTAACCCACATGTAATAAACTCTTCCCTGCTGGTTCTGCACATGGAATTCTGTTGTACCATGAACTTTAAATTCTATGTATGATAACCAATCAAGCTAAGTCACATTCAGATAAAGGTTAACATGCCCCTCATTCATCCTCATGTTTAGCAAATGATCCTGAAACCATCAGTCAAGTTACAAAACCAGTCCCCGTTATGGAAATGACCAAACACGACTCATACTCTGCATTTAAAGACACATTTTGTAGTGTATGTTGGTGTGCAGTGTGTCTCTGCATGTTTTCCTACAATAGGCATATAATAATGTAATTAAATAATAATGCAGCAGCTGTACAATAAAAAATAACAAGAATGTTTTATTTCACTCTGTCGGTTTCCACTTAAAAAAATATATATATATTTAACTAATGATGTACTTGGTGCTGTAGCTTTGAGAACTTTTTAAGCATTCACATCTGGAACATGTTTTTTTGTTTGTTTTTTTGCTCATGTTTCTTGTAAATAATACATTGCCTATGTACCAATTTTGACTTCCCAACTTTGACTCAACAGGGTCATCTGAGTACCTGGTCAAGTTACTAATCTTCTATTACGAGTCTTTTAGATTAAGCATATGAGATCTATATCTGAATTAACAGCATTGCCGTAGGTAGTTGGTTGATGATGTTATAACACTGTTTACAGCCCAAGGAAAAAAAAAATGATGCAATATCTGAATGAGATCAACAATGACATGAGCCCTGGTTCAATAATGAAAAAAAAATTAAAGTGTCTGTAATAACAAGTAATGATTTTTTTTCCAAGTACAAGTTACCTGGGTCCCCGAGCCACCTATGTTCAGCTGCAGGTAAGCTGGATGTTTTAGTAGAGCTATGGTCGGTTGTTACTGGATTCTCCTGAGAGGGCTCAGTTGACTCTCTTAGACAAGAAGTGGAGTCTTGCATGGTCCTATTTAGCTCAGTGAAGCTAGGCTGTAGGAGGATCCCATAAGCAGGGTATGCAGCCGCAGCAACCCAGTGGTACCAAGGTAAGTTGGCAAACTGTACTAAAACAGTTTGACAAATTACACTGGGATACTTCAAATACCTGTAGTGGTTATGGTCCTTGGAACCTTCCTATAACACTTCAAGTTTGTGAAAATTTACATTGACAAAGCAAGGTTACTTTCCGGTTATCAGTGAGATTAAGGAAATGGCACAGTCCCTGAGACATTGTCCCGACACTAGGCATAATTATTACCAAGAGGTTTTCAAAATATAAAACCATTAAAAGAAGCTTCTTCTGGGTTGTGGTGTTTAAAAGGTACACTCTAAACACCAATACGAATACTCATTGATGCCCTTAGACAAGAAGTAGTGCCCTTATGGTGCAAGGAGGTCCCCAGTTCCTATCTCATCAGTGGCTTAATGAAACTATGTGCAGAGTCCGCAAAACATTGCTATCACATTGACAAGCACTGTGGTATGGCACCCATCAGCTTATAGCAATTCCACTCTTATCTTAAATTTTAAACTACTGCTGGTGGCTGAACGTCATGTCCCATATATTCTTGGTGGCCAGATTTATATGGATAACAAACCTATTTGCCTGGATTGGTGGAGTTGTTTCCTTGTTTGAGCTGACCA